AGCAGCTCAGCCCCGAAGGAGAAGGCAGAGGAAATATTCCCCCTCGCGACGCTGGGTGGGGGTGTTGGCCACGGACCGGCAGGTTCCTCTGCCCGCGCCGGGTTTGCGGGCTCGGGGAGACAAAAGAAGCCGTGTGAGCTGCTGGGGAAGGGCGGCGGGGCACGGAGGCGGGGTGCTCGCGGGCTTTCCGACCCCCTTACCCCGGGATTCCTGACAAACACCGCTCTGCCTCGGACGCTGCGTAAAATGCTGGGACCCAGGGAGGACGGTGGATGGCTTTTCTGGAGAGAAATGGCGTGGGGGAGACGGAGCGGAGGCAGCAAGAGGCAAGTGATCTTGTTTATTCTGTGCGTCTGCGTGTGTCAGAGCGGGGCCGAAAGCCTCCGCTATTCTCTGGCGGAGGAAATGGAGAGGGACGCCTTTGTCGCCGATATTGCAAAGGACCTGGGGGTTTCTCCGAGCCAGCTCGCGGCTCGCAAGGCCCGCGTTGTGTCCGAGGGGAACGAGCAGCTTTTCCGCCTCAGTCAAAACACCGGAGTCCTGACGGCAAAGGAGGCGCTGGACCGAGAGGAGATCTGTCCGCAGAGCGATACCTGCACGCTCCACTTCCAGATATTCTTTGAAAATCCGTTGCAGCTGATCCGAGGGGAGGTGGAGGTTCGTGACGTGAACGACAACTCCCCCGTGTTCCCGGAGAAGGACGTGCTTTTAGAGATTCCCGAAACGATGTCTCCCGGGTCCAGTTTCCCTCTGGAAAGCGCCCCGGACACGGCAACGGCTTGCAGAACTACAGCCTCGGGTCCAATGCGCATTTCTCCCTCGCTCTCGGAACAGGGAAAGGTGGAGTAAAATACGTGGAGCTCGTCCTCGAGCGGCAGCTGGACCGCGAAGAGCAGCGAGAGCTGAATTTACTCCTCACCGCCACCGACGGGGGCTCGCCACCCAGGTCGGGCACGGCTCAGGTCCGGATCGTGGTGCTGGATGCCAATGACAACATGCCGGTCTTCGGTCGGGAGCTCTACGAGGTGCGCCTGGCCGAGAACAGCCCCCCGGAGCTGCTGGTGGTCAGAGTCGCGGCCGCGGATCCCGACGAAGGGTCCAACGGGAAGGTGCGCTACGCCTTCACCCAGACATCGGAGCGGTCCCGGCAGCTCTTCGAGCTGAACCCTGCCAGTGGGGAGATACGGGTCGCGGGCAACCTGGACTTCGAGGAAGCGAAAAACCACGACTTGGTGGTGAGGGCCACCGACGGCGGGGGGCTGTCTGCGCATTGCAAAGTGCAGGTGGAGGTCCTGGACGTGAATGACAACGCCCCGGAGATAGCGCTCACCTCCCTCACCGCCTCCATTCCCGAGGACGCCCCGCCCCGCACCGTGGTGGCCCTGTTCAGTGTGCGGGACCGGGACTCCGGGGACAACGGCAGGACGGAGTGCGCGATCGACGGAGACTTGCCCTTCAGCCTCGCCCCGACTGTTGATAATTACTACGAACTGCGAACAAAGGCGGCGCTGGACAGGGAGAGGACGGCGGAGTATAACATCACCGTGACGGCCACGGACTGGGGCACGAGGCGGCTGAGCTCTCGGGAAAGCATCTTCGTGCGGATATCGGACGTGAACGACAATCCGCCAGAGTTCACCCAGGAGATTTACACCCTGTCGGTGCCGGAGAACAACAGCCCCATGCTCCGGATCGGCAGCGTGAAGGCCACGGACGCCGACGCGGGCAAAAACGC